TAGCCTTGAGCTGAAGAGCTGAGGGACAGCGCTCAGGCCCAGAGTACAGGCCCCACGACCGGACCCCCCCCCCAAAAAAAAAAAACATGAATGGAACAACACACCAGGTTTTGCACAGTGATAGATAATGGTATGCAGAAATTTGGACAGATCCATGGAGTTTCAATTGTACTTTCAGTGGTTTCTTTGGTAGTGTTTACATGGATGTTTATTGTATCTTGTTATTTTTACATATTAGAAATAATGTTAATTATTCTCCCTAAGTAATACAAGAAGGGCTATAACTTAACTATTCCCGCCCTCCCTCTTTTTTTTGTGCTGGTCCTGGGGCCTGGGCACTGTCCCTGAGCCTTTTTTTTGCTCAAGGCTAGCACTCTACCACTTGAGCCACAGCTCCACTTTTGGCTTTTGTGGTGCTTAATTGGAGGTAAGTGTCTCACTGACTTTCCTGCTTGAGCTGGCTTTGAACTGTGATCTTCAGATTTTAGCTTCTGAATTGCTAGGATTACAGGCATGAGTCACAAACACCTGGCTTCCTTCCTCTTTTTGGGGGGAGGGGTGGGAAGGAACTGATGCTTTTTAACCCCTCCTCCCTCCCATATTGACATACAATGATCACATACACTAGGACATGTTGACATATTTCTCAGTTTGGTAGGTAGTTTAGCTTTATAGTAAGGCGTGCCTGAGGTCTAACTTTGCTATTTACAAGAGGTGAGAATTTAGGTAAGGTATTAACTTTTCTGAATTTTTAAAAATTCATTAGGGCTAGATTGTATCTATCTATGGGTTTGTAGTAGAGATTAAATGAAATCATATATGTAAAGATTCTGGTTTGTAAGAGATGCTTCTTTCCTGGTTTTGGTACCCCATAGTAACTGTAAGGGAACTCTGCACCTAGAAATACCTCATTAAGCTGACTGTGTGTTACATTATAATAAAATTTTGTTAACTATTTTTTTAGGAGGACTTTCGATTACATTTTAGAAACATTTCTAGAATCATGGATTGTGTTGGTTGTCTTAAATGTCGGCTGTGGGGAAAGCTGCAGGTAAGAAAATCAATCTTCTTACCCTTTCCATGAGGAATTTTCTTATTTTCTCTTTCTCTTACTTATTTTTTCTTATTTCTATTGTAGACTCAAGGTTTGGGCACTGCTCTGAAGATCTTGTTTTCTGAGAAACTCATAGCAAATATGCCAGAAAGTGGACCCAGTTATGAATTCCATCTAACCAGACAAGAAATAGTTTCATTATTGAATGCATTTGGAAGGTTAGTTTGAATATATTGTAATTATTTCTATTAGACAAGTAAGCCTAATGCAACCTCTCAGATAAAACTAGGTAAAGAATATTCTTTTGCAGGCACTAGCACATTTATAATCCTAGCTACTGAGGGGGCTGAGATCTAAGGATCATGGTTCAAAGCCATCCCTAGGCAGGAAAGTGTGGAGACTCTTATCTCCATTAACCACAGAAAAGCCGGAAGTGGGGCTGTGGCTCAAGTGGTAGAGTGTTGGCATTAAGCAAAAAGTTCAGTGACAGCACCCAGGCCCTGAGTTCAAACCCCAAGACTAGTATGCACAGGTGTGTGCCTGCTCACATGTACACACACACACATGCTCGCACACATACATACAATCATTAGGTGCTTCTTTAGTTTTATCTATTCACTTATATATTCATGATTAATTTACTGATCAGATGTCAAAACTCATTGAATTTTATATATTTAAAAAAATACTTAAAAAGCAGTTTGTATTCTGTCCAATTTCTTTTTTGAAGGACCTAGAAAAAAATTTTGTTATTTCATACAGGTAGACATGTAAGTTTTTTGGTGAATTCATCATTATATAAAAAAAGGTTAATTTTTTTCAAAAAAATTACTGTCTAGCAAATGATTTAGGGAAAGCATAAAGTAAGATTCATTAAAAATTCTAACTAGAAGCTGGGCACTGGTGGCTCACGACTGCAATCCTCACTACTCAGGAGGCTGAGATCTGAGGATCACAGCCAGAAAAGTCTGTGAAACTCTTATCTCAAATTAACCAGCAAAAAGCTGGAAATGGAGGTGTGGTTTAGAGTGATAGCCTTGAGCTGGAAAAGCTAAGAGACAACACGCAGACCTTGATTGAATTCAAGTCTCCAGGCATGCGTATACCCACAACCCTTTCCCCTCCCCTCCACAGTGTTTTCAATTGATTTTCAGAATTAATTCTCTGATTACTGGAAGCTGGACAGTTATGTTTCATTGTGTATTCTGGTACTTTTAACATGCTCGAGAGTGAACTAAAGTGCACGTAAAATAAACATCACATACAAAATTAAGGAACAAATTTTAATTTTCATAAAAATCAGAGAAAATAATTATTCTGTTCTTTATAGACCAGTAGCTTTGAGTCTTTGTACATTTTCTAAACAATGGTGTATTATCTTCAATTATTCATATAATTGCAAATATTTAAAATATATGTATATATTTCTGTACTTTTTAGTATGTACTTGAATAAATATTTAAAATATGTATTTTAATACTTATATACTTATGTATTTTATATAAATACTCATACTTTAATACTAAGTTAATATACTTATGAATTCTTAAAACACAAATATTACAATATCTATGTACTTTATTTTGTATATTTTAATGCTTTAATATTAAAAGCTAATTTCTAGACAATTTTATCTTAGTTTTACTATGCCAAATTAATAACTAAAGTATAGCAAATATATCAAAGGGTTTATGTACCTTTTTAATTTGTTGAAATTTCTTTACATATTTATACATTTTAATAATGTAAAGTGAATAATATATTAAATATATTCAAATGAATAATATATTTCAACAATGTAAAGTGAATAAATTTAAGATAGTTTCTAAACAGAATATTTTGTTTTATTTTTTTTGGTTACAGAATTTCTACAAGTGTGAAAGAATTAGAAAACTTCAGGAACTTGTTACAAAATATTCATTAAGAAAAACAAGTTTGAAATATACCTATTTCGGACAGTGGAGGCCAAAGAGTGGAATTTCATTCAAAGGCATAAAAGCAATGACAGTCCTAAGCCAAACATTTTATAAAAAGCTCTTTTTGTAAAAATGAGAATTGTTTTGAGTAACAGTTTTTTAAAAAAATTGTGCTGTCTATGTTTAATATTATTGTGAGTGAAAGTACTATCTCAATAATGAGGCATAAATTTTAAAGTTCAATACTGAACAAAAGCAAGATTATCAGGTTCATTTATGATAGGACTAGAAAATGATGTCAAGTTTCACAAACTGGAGTTTTGTGTAAGGAAGGGTAAAAAAAATACAACTGTGGTAATGTGAGGAGTTAAACTGGGGAGAATGCTTAATAATAGGAAGATGCTAAAGAGGCTTAAGAATGACCCATAATTAATAGCCATACATTTAGGGTTGTCAGATTTAGCAAAAAAGAATACAGGATGCTCAAGTTAGATTTGAACTTCTGATAATAACTAATTTTTTTAAAAATCTAAGTTCATTGCATATATTTGGAACATACTTATACTAAAATTATTTTTATTATTTAAATGAAATTTAAATTTATCTGAGAGTCATCCTGTGTTTTATTTGAGAAATCTTAACACACTGGCATGAAAGAAATCACTTTTATTGTTATATTGCTATTTTGATTGGGTTGTTTTATAGGAAGGTAAATAAAAACTTAAAGGCAAATGAGATTTTTAAACATGAAAAGTTGAATAGATTATATATTTATTCTCATAATATGTTCCCTATACTGAGTAAAATTTGGGGGAAGACTTTTTATTTTTATTGTAATTTCAAATTTATAGAAAAGTTTTAAAAATAGTACAATGAACTCTTTTACTAAGATTCACCAATTGTTCATTGGCTGTCCCTCCCTTCCTCTCTCCCTCCTTCCCAGTATTGGAGATTGAACCCAGGGCCTGATACTAGGCAAGCTCTGTACTACTGAGCTACATCCTCATATATATATATATATATATATATATATATATATATATGCCATTTTTCCCCCTTAGTCCTTTGAAAGCCATCATATCCTTCCAACCCTAAACCCTAAATACTTTAATGTAATATTAATTTTCTAGAAATGACGTTTTCATAAAACTCATATATGTCCAGAGCTATAATCCTCTTAGCCTTAAAATACAGATCACTTCACGTCCCAATCTAAAACTTTTTAGCTTTGTTGCTTTATTTATGCTTGAACTATGTAATCATAGGACATATAATTTGTGTGTGTGTAATCTGGTACTTGGAATTTGAACTCTGGACCTCATATTTTCTTTGCTTTTTTTCTCATTCAAGCCTGTGTTCCACCACCTCTAGTTCCTTTTTTTTTTTTAGTACACACAATTTATTTTCTTTGTCTCCTTAAAATCTAACTGTAAATTGTGAGAGGTTTTCACTAGTGGATGCTCTTCAATGATTAAAAAATATTAGGAAGTAATATCTCATGGTAATTACAGTGAAAAAAGAATTTATACCTCAAAATTGTATGCCTTTTTTTATAGATACCTTACATATCTTACTTAGGAGGTTTAACATGTTGAGATGTCACATTGTTAGAAATGTTTTAGAAATGTCACTTTACATTGCTGTATACTTTTTCGTTATAATTCCAAGTACTGGTCCAGTGCCAAGTATACAGTTTGTATCTAAGTATTTGTTGAATGAATGTATGAATATGTGTTCAGGATATTTTAAATGAATAGTCCTAGAAGCAAGTTCAACAATATGTGTTCTATTTTCATTCCTTCAGTCATTCCTTTTGGAGACTCAGAGGATTAAGTGATCATGACATGTAAAAGTTTAAAGACACACATAGTACTCTAAAAATATTGTAAATAGGTTTAACTGATAATTTTGTGTATAATGTCTAATACTCATGACCTTCTCCCCTACTCCACCCTACCTTTAGTGGCTAATATTTTGTAAAGTGTCTCTGTCATCACTTAAAACTTTTTGTTTGTTCCTTAACTAAGAGCTGGCATTGGCCTTGGGTTCTTTTCAGTCCTTTCCAGTGGGGTCTTAAATCCTAATTCTAAATCCATATTTCAGTTCACCAGCCAGTTCTTATTTAACTTTTTTTCTTGAACTTATTTCCTGACAACCTTTCTGTACACACTTTCTATTCTCTTTCTTACTTTTTGCTTGCTCCAGAACACTTTCCTTTCCTTTTTGGTCTCCATTTATTCTTTACTCTTTAATCACTGTAGCACTTTTCACTCTGGGGGAATTCTAACTCAATGATTCCTAAGTCCTTAGCTGTAGCCCAGAGTTCTCTATCCACCTCTACTGCACTTCAGTAGATTTTCCTCAATCTCTTGTGTCTTTATTTTCTACAAAAAGTACTTTATCTTTGTGTTCCTTACTTTGGCTAATTTCAAAACTGTCATTTCCTAAGTTTTCTCAGTTCACTCTTGTCCTCTACTTTCCGCCACCTATTAGGGTCTAATTTTCACTGGGCTTATTTGCATTTTACTGATACAGCAATCTTTTAATTTTCATTGCTATTAAGCGAAGGACTACATAGATCTATCTCCTTATATGCAGGCTATTTTCTCCTTGTGGATCTACATGTGACCAGATTAGCCTTTCAAGAAGCACTTTTCACAATCTGCTCTCTGCTTAATACCCTTCAGTGACTTCATGTGTTTTCTGGAGAAGAGTCAAAGACCTTTGATTGGTATACAAGACACTCCCATATGTCTACCCTACCCAATATCCCAGTGAAATAGACTTATAGTGCTTCAAATGCCTAATATGCCTGGGCCTTCAAAAATGGGTGAATGCTGTATTCTTTTTACCACGTGCACTAGTCATTCATCCCCATCTGGAAGATGGGGATCTCTCCTGTGAAATCTCCCTTCTCCAGTCAAAGAGAGTCATCTAACTTCCTCTTGTGTCACCACTGTAATTACAACCTACCTCTATTACATTACTTATTGTACTGCATTGTTTCATTTCTAAAAAAATGTGTCTTTGCTAGAATGTGAGCTCCTTAAGGGCAGGAAATGGAACTTTATTTTTGGCATTTCCATAGCATAATTTTTGGCATTTAATAAATGTTGGTTGAATAAATTCCTTTTAAAGTGACAGCTTTGTTACATTACGAATTCTACCTTCATTCCAAATATCTTCACTCCCTTCACTTTACAGCAAGGATCATTAGACTCCCAAAGGTTTGTAATTTAGGGGGTCAATAAAGATGAAATTATACTTAAAATCTGGCATGTTTTTGGTGGGTCATGAAAGATGTCTATTCTGAAAAAAGAAAAGATCTTTCAAGAAGAAAGGCAGCATCTTAGGGAAATTTCTTGAATAACAATGGACAAGCAGGGATTAGGAGATAAATTGACTATAAATTAACTCATTTGAGAGTTTTTCTTTGCTTGGTATTTGGATAAATATATACTATTTAATAACATGGGCATTTTAAAGTAAAGTGTATGGCACTTCATATCAAGTCAGTTTGTAATATCAGTAGTATGAATCCAGCTGTAGTTATGAGATCACTCAAAGCAAACTTTTGTTTGTAACTCTTGCTTATCCTTATGTGTTAGAAACTCAGTAGATTAAGAAAGCCAGACTTCCAGATAAAACCACAAACACTTTTATTTTTAACAGTAGTGTTTTGTTACAATTTAGTGAAACAACAAATAAATACATTCATTGGCCACAGCTATACTTTTACAACCAGTGTGAAACTGATTATATAGCTGAAAAACACTTAAATAATAAAAAGGCAGCTATGCATATAAAAGCCACTTCAGCTATAAATTACATCTTCCATAAACTACAACCAGCCACAATGAGTTAAGAGTTTCAAAATTAATGGCTATCCAAATGAAATAAATGATAAGAACGAATATTGCTGATCATTGTAGAATCACACACTTCAGCAATGAAATTCACTTTTCTAATTAATGAACCCAAGAGGAAGGTCTAAATAATCATCATGTGCTTCAGTGCAGGATAAACAGGGAATTGGTAGCCCTTTGATTTATAAACAGCTACTTCTTTCAAGACCAAATTTAAAGTGCTCCTAGTGCTTTGGACTTTTTTAAGCAAATATTGGGCCAGAGTTTTCTTTCTTCATCTTTGGTGATGTATAAGATGTGTAAAAGGAGATAAATGCAAAAATTTAGGTGGCCTAGTCAGTGATAAAAGAAATCTCAAATTCAGTATAATCAACTAGTGCAACTAAAAGAACCATAATGTTATTTCTGAAAAAAAAAAAACCACGATAGTAATCTGTTTTTACCTGGTCAAACAGGAACTTATCTAAGGAAGCTTTATTAGGAAAACCTTATTTTATCATCTTGACTCAAGGATTAACAAAACACAGATCTTGTCATATGTAGCTCTAGGTAGTTAACATTATCAGCAAAACAAATAGTAGGCATACTGAAAAGGAATCTAACAACTAAAAAAGACGTCTGCCACTGTTGTAGTAGAAATATACTTTTAGTTATAGTACCAAGATTAACTTTTCTACTGTGAAATTTACATAATTTGGTTACAAAGAAAGAACTTACAAATGCCAAAACACTTACAACTAACTATATGCTTCGGACAGAACTGAAAAGTCCCTTGTACCATAAAAAGACAATAGTTTTGCACAAGCCTTCCAAAGAAAGTGTTTTAACATTTTCATTTTTCGTTTATTATACCTATGTGAAACTACTGCATCAGTTATTAAAAAGCTGAAATAAAACAACTTCCTAATCAAAGTAGAAGAAATGGGCAGTTGTATTAGTTCCAGTTCTGAAGAAACAGACCAGCAGACAATTATATGTATAGTCATCTTTAAGCACTGTGGCAACTTCCCAATGTTGCCTGTTCCTTGGCATCTTGAGGTATTCAGCATCTACTTTTCCTATAGACACTGGTAGAAAGTGCATTTTAAAAGTCTGCATTGTCCTAGCCTACCGTGTGTGTGTGTGTGTGTGTGTGTGTGAGAGAGAGAGAGAGAGAGAGAGAGAGAGAGAGAATGAGAGAGGGAGAGAGAGATTTTGTGTGTGCGCGCACACATGTACGTGCCTGCACAAATGTGGATGTTTTAGATTTCAAGTAGGACATTCATGATCATTCTAATATGCTAAAAGTATTTCAATATTGTTAACCTCTGGTTTATACTTACCTACTTTATACATTTATGTTGTTCGCTTATTTAGTCTAGTGCTAGAATTGAACTTAATTTGGCTTTCTCTATAAGGTATCAAAATGTGAAAAATAAAGGGGAATAGATATGTCTTATAAAGTATTGCACTTTAGTTCATTGCAATAATGTATCATGATTTAATTTACCTGAGGGTAATCTTGATCCAGTTGGTAAGATGAACTACATATTGTTTCAGAAAATCATACTTTTGAAATGTACTCACTTTTTTCAAAATGGTATATTTTATAAATAATTCTTAAATACATCTGTAAAGTTATTTAGTCCCGAGAAGTTTCTACCAAAATCTCCCTATGCAAAAATCGCTATTGCTCTGTTGAAGAATCATGCTTCAACTACTATATGTGTCTTAATCATACAAAACCATCACTTGACCAACTCTACTTAAAATAATCACAACATTTTCACTGGTACATTTTCTTCTTCTTTTTTTTTTTGGTCAGTTGTGGGGCCTGAACTCTGGGCCTAGGTGCTGTCCCTCAGCTCTTCAGCCCAAGGCTAGTGCTCTACTACTTGAGTCACAGCACCACTTCTGGCTTTTCCTGCCTTTGTGGTGCTAAGAAATCGAACCCAGGGCCTCATGGATGCAAAGCAAGAACTCTACCACTGAGCCACCTTCCCAGCCCTGCATTTTCTTCTTGAAAAAATTACTGTGGCTTTCCACAAACCACTCTTGGTCATCACTGGAAAGGATTACTACTGTCATTTATTTAAAATGATTTGAATAATTTCAGTTGGTATTTTAAAGGCATGCTGTTTCCAATGATTTCTTATTTTTAGCTATTTGAAAAGAAGGATACACATTTATGCCTTTAGTTGGTGCATTCTTCACGCTCTAAAACTGTAATTGGGTAAGGGCACTGCTGAATATATAGGCTTCAATTTTTGTAGAAAAACTGCCTTCCAATTTGGTATACAATAGTATCCCAGTGGGAGCACTGGAGTATGACTTTGGGGCTGCAGTGTAATCTTCAGAACAAAGATAAAAGTGCAAATAGGCAAATATGCATTTGATGTTTGAAGTCAAGATGTTTGCCAACACGTACCTTATGATCTAATTTTTATTCTTTCCTACACCAAACTTTCCATTTTACTTAATTTTACTGTACAGAGGTCCAAAGAATCAGTGGTGTTCTCCACCAAACAGCTACATTTCCAGAATTTTGTTTTTAGCTATAAATGATAATGGAATGTTGATGTAGATGGAATTTAAACACATTATGCATACACATTCATGGAAAACAATTCAGGAATCACACTTGGAAAGGCTATCAGTTTTGTGGAGTTACATATAAGCTGTGGTGACTGTTGATATCTAAATTGCTACAAGTAAAAAGCAAAGGAGCAGTATCTGTCATGGGTCCATTCCGATGTGGAGTAACTGTGTAAGTGTTGCTTTCACACCCAGTCATGGTGCCATACCAGCCCAAACTTTGCGAATTTGATAAACTGCAACAACAAATAAGGCAAAGAAGACATAGAACTGTGATCAGAATATGAGAAAACCACACTGTTTTTTTTTTTTTTTTTTGCTGGTCTTGGGTCTTGAACCCTGGGCCCTGGGTATTGCCCCTAAGCATTTTTTTGCTCAAGGCTCTAGCATCTACCATTTGAGTTACAGCACCACTTCCAGCTTTTTCTGTGATTAACTGGAGATGAAAATCTCATGAACTTTCCCGCCAGGGCTGGCTTTGAACAATCATCCTCAGATCTCAGCCTCCTGCGTAGGATTTACAGGCATGAGCCTCCAGTGTCCAGCTCATACTGGCATTTTTAACATTGTCAATGCATTTCATAACACATGTCAAATATACTAAAATATGCTATTTGCCAAATAACATAATGACTTTCAATAAAATTTAGTGACTTCAATCTCTTGGAATATCACATATTACAAAAGAATGCATGCTTCTCAGAACTGGTAGAATTGATTAGATAATGACAATATAATTCATTAGGCTGTTTTCTAAGACATGCATGTATGAACATAAGTATACACTCTTTTAATGCTTGCCACAACCCTATAAGATAGATTCAATTATCATCCTTACTTTACACATAAAAAACAGGCTCAAATAGGTTAAGCAACTTGTCCAGATGAAATTAGAATTACCAAAAATGTAGTATCAAGTTGAAAGAATGATATAAGTGTGCATTAAGGTTTTCTCTTTGTTCCTATACACAGCTCATAGTATACTGTTTAAGAATGTACAATGGTTTGGGAACAGGGTAACATAGGAGATGTCTATGAAACCTAAGCTTTCTAAGAGTTTCATGTAGGACCTTGAATTCGGAATAGCACTAAGAATACAGAAATAGATACTTAATCTATTTATTAATCCATAAAAATAACATAAGCTTTTGAGTTAGATGGTATTTTTCTTTTCTTTTTTTTTTGGGTGGGGGGGGGAGGGATATTGGTTTAACTCAGAACTTGATCACTGTTCCTGAACTTTTGTGCCCAAGGCTAGTGATCTACCACCTGAGCTACAACTGGCTCCTAACTCCTCAGCCTTTTGTATAACTAGGTGTTTGTGTGTGTGTGTGTGTGTGTGTGTGTGTGTGTGTGTGTGTGTGTGTGTGTGTGTGTGTGTGTGTGTGTGTGTACTCAGAGCCTGGGCACTGTCTATGAGCACAATCAAGGCTAGTGCTCTACCACTTGAGACACACCTCTATTTCCAGCTTTTTTGCTGGTTAATTGGAGATGAGTCTCATAGACTTTTCTACCTGGGCTGGATTTGAACCATGATCCTCAGATCTCAGCTTCCTGAGTAGCTAGGATTATAGGTGTGAGCCACTGGCACCCAGCTAGGTGGTGTTTCTTTATATTACATGTCTTACCTATCATGTGTGTAACATCTACTATTTTATTCTCCAGTATCCTGTGATCTTCCTTATTTATATGAACTACCAAGTTGTCTTTTTAATAGTTAGGCTAAAGCTTACAGTTATCTTCAGTCTATCTCAATACTAATTCAGGATAAATGATTTTTGATTATATTTACCTTCCTTCTCTTGACCCTCCCAGTCTTGGCAAGTCATCATCGCTATCATATCGTCTTGGATTGTCGAAAAAGTAAGCTCTAGAACTGTAACTGTGGCTATTTATCATGCCACCAGGTACCTGTGGACCAAGTATTAGAAAGCATATAAAGGTTAACTTTTCAGTCAAGAGTACAGTCTAGGAGCTATGATGATTTTTTTGGCTTTGCCTTTTGCCAAAAATAGACAATCAACATCAATAGTTTAGACTTTCCAAAAATAAGGATATTATGACATCATACCAAGTTCTGGTTTAATCTTTGTGCCCGGAAAAATAGTACCACCGACCATGCTGGTACATGTTCCCAAAGAAAGAGGACCATTCCAAATACTATATAGTCTTCTCCACTTACGTCTTCTACATGAGCCTGTAAATGGAGCATGGCAGAGCAGTTTTTATAACTGGTTCTTATATAAGGAAGGAATCATCTCCCACAATTGTTTAAAGTTGGGTAAGTTAACATACAAGCACATGAACTCTAAAAATTTCTGTATTTTGTGGTTTCTAGTGAAACAGCACTTATTTCTTCAGTGACATACAATACTTTAATGTTAAGTAGAGTACAATGATGTTAACTTTTAAAATGTATCAATTTATGAAAATAATTTTAATCTTTGTATAATATAGAGTGATTTCATTTTGGAGTTCCATAGTCTGAAGACACTACAAAGAACTCCATTAGCACAACAACACCCTGAGTTAGACCTGTAGAGAAATGGACCCTGTTAAATCACTAAGCTTAGATACTACTTAAAGCTTTTGGGCCTAATCTACATATTGCATTTGTGCCTGCTGTACCAGGTGTTGGGAGAGGGAAATAGGGAAAGAAGTGAAGAGAATCTACCACATGGAACCAATATGAAAATGTGATTTCATTTACTTTTTCTTTGGAAAGGTAAATGCAACATGGTATTCCAGGATGCCGTGAATTCAGCACAAAGTTAAATTACTAGAAAGATATGACACAAACTGTTTTTGGGGAAGGGATAGAGAATGCTAGGAAGTTAAATATACATAGCTATAATTCTGAGAATTTCTTTACCCAACAGCTGGATACCAAAGGAATTATGAATGATCTTATGTCACCAAGACTCGTAATGCCAGACTTGTCCTAATTTGAATGTCTAAAATGAAACCAAATCTTCAAAGGATATTTATCCTAACAATACATTAACTGTTTTCAATGGATAATTATGGACAAGTTACCTAGAGCTATTTAAATACTAGCCTTGAAATACTACTTCAAATTTTGTGACCAACAGGTTTGCAACAAATACATTCCTGACACTATTACTATTTACAAAAAGAAAATACTTGAGAAAAGTTTTTTTGAAAGTAGGATTTTCAATGTTGCATGTAAATGAAGACAACACATGTCCTTAAACATGATAACAGAGCAGAGATGCCATAAAAGTGTAAGTCAAACACTTAAAATGTTTTCTTAGATAAAGATAGCTTAATTATAAGTTCTATTAACTACAGATTAGCAATATGTGGTAAATACTCACCTTATCTGAAAGATTATCCCAGCCATAATTAAATGGACTTTCTAATGTATCCTGAGATATGGTGATAACCACTAAATTATAACAAGCTCTGGACGAGTAGAGGAGAATGACCACAGAGCCTACAATGACAGTCTGGCACAAAGACATACCCTAAAAGAGATAAAAATAAATCAATATGATATTTTTCACATTGTTCATGACATGCTAGCTATTTCTTCACATACACTGTGGTCACTTCTTGGAAAGCATACATAGAAAACACCGAGGGGGGCCTGTTGAAATAAACTCTTGATTATCTTGCCTTATAATTCCTATTCGTGGAATTCCTATTTATGTTTAATATACGTATGTGAATATGTGCACACATACATTGCCTACTTGCCAAATGGAAGCTGGAGAAATATTTTGTTCTGCCAAGGTTATCTTATTCCCTTAATGTATGTAAGTTGGCGAAAGATCAAAACTTTAATTGTTGCAAATCAGAGATACAGTTTAGTCAAAAGAAGAATGAAAACTAGAAACAGCCCATTTTATACATTTGATTTCTGATACAAAATGAGAATAGAAATTCAGTTCTTAGGCTATTTATTCTATTCCAGAGTTGATGCTAGTCCCCAATTGATGCCATTGTGTTCATGACAAAATGATCAAGGTGCTCTAATGTACTTTCAAAAGTTTATGGCTTTACTTATTTATTTTTAATCGTGAAAATTCCATACAGAGGGGTTACAATTATATGGGCAAGGTAATGAGTACATTTGTTATCAAGCATTGTTGCCTCCTCCTTTGTTTCCCCTTCCCATCCCTTCCCATCTCCCCCCCCATAACCCCTCCCCCCTCCCCCATGCCAAAGTTCTAAAGTTCGTTTTTCGATATAACGTCTTGTACATCTCATTGCAATGAGTTCACCTGTATCCCTATTTAAACAATTTGTTTTTTCCCTTCCCCTCCACAAATTATAACAACATCAAATACAGTGAAAATAGGGCTTTAAAAATTAAAAAAAAATTTCCTTGCATTAGTGGTTCTCAACTGGAGAGTGTACAATGGAGAGGGGTGCTATTAATAAAAAGCAAATGTAAAGCCAATACAGATATTTAATTTTTTTTTGAGATGAGAAGTTTTACTGAATCTCTATGCAGAGTCTTGAACTACTAAGTTCAAGTGGTCCTCTTGTCCCAGCCTTTTGAATGGCTGGCATTATAAGTATTTATCATTGCATTATTTTTAAAAAGGTACCATATCATTTAAAAAATAGCAAGAACAAGAGAACAGAATCTTGTAAGCATTAACTAAAACAATCACAAATGTGTATATTCACTGTGTTGAGAAATAATCACTTAGAAAGAAATATGCTATCATCTGGAAAGACTCTGCTTAAATTTGTAATGATTTTTAAAAACAGGTTATAAGAACAAAGAACACCAAAGCAACAAAACAAAATAACATACAGCTAAGTTACATATATAGAATAAAGGAAGCCTATTTATCTAGCAAAAGAGTCATTCTGCAAAATGCAGGATCACAAGATGGAAAATAAAGACCCAGCACCTGTGTAGCCTAGACCTCTATCTAAATATAGCATATTATCAATTCAAAACATTCCCACACAGCTCTTCCCCATCAGCCAGTGACCTCAGATGCGAATACTCCTCCACTTTTGTTTTAGCAACTTCTGCCTGCTTTAGAACTTCATGTAAGCGAAGTTAAAGAACATACACTCTTCTGTAGGTTTCATTTAGCATGCTTTTAAGATTTGTTCACATTGTTGGGTATATCAGTAGGTTTTTTTTGTGTGTGTGACTAATTGGAGATAAGAGTCTCACGGATTTTCCTGCCCAGACTGGCTTGAAATGGTGATCCTCAAGTCTCAGCTCTCTTAGTTAGCTAGGCATGAGCCACCCGTACCTGGCTGTGAGTTCCTTTTAGAGCTGAGGGTGACCAAGTCTTCCTGGTTTGCTCAGGTGCTCCCTGGGTGGAGCTCCACCACTTGAGCCACAGTACCATTTCTGGCTTTTTCTGAGTAATTTATTGGCAATAAGAATCTCATGGATTTTTCTGCCTGGGCCAGTTTGGAACTGTGATCATCTGATCTCAGCCTCCTGACTAGCTAGGATTAGGAGTGAGCCACTGACACCCAGCTAACATATTTTTTAAAAAATTGAATTGTTGGAGATTGTTATATGTGCTGGACACCAGTTCCTTGTTAGATATGTTTACTGAAATATTTTCATGAAGCTTATGGCTTGCTTTTGGATTTTCTTAGTCTCGTCTTTTGGTGGGAAATTTTAAAGTTTAATGAATCTAATTTATCAACTTGTTTTTTTTTGTGACTATTACTTTCTATGACTTGAAAATCTTTTGTCTGTAGGGCTGGGAAGGTGGCTCAGTGGTAGAGCGCTTGCCTTGCATGCTCGAGGCCCTGGGTTCGATTCCTCAGCACCACATAAGCAAAAAAAGCCAGAAGTGGCTCTGTGGCTCAAGTGGTAGAGCACTAGCCTTGAGCTGAAGAGCTGACGGACAGCGCCCAGGCACAGAGTTCAGGCCCCACGACCAGACCCCCCCCCCCAAAAAAAAAAAAAAAGAAAATCTTTTGTCTGTACTCAAGTTGTAAAGGTATTCTTCTGGTAATCCTACTGACTCAGGAGGCTGAGATCTAACTATTGTGCTTTGAGGCCAGCCCATAAAGGAAACTCTGTAAGATTCTTATCCCAATTAACCAGCAAGAGCCAGAGGTAGAACTATGGCTCAAGTGGTAGCACATTAACCTTGAGTGAAAAAGCTAAGGGATAGTGCCCAGACCACCCCCTCACCACAGTATTCTTTTACAAGTTTTTGGCACTTTCCATTGACATTTAAGTCTATGATCCATTTTGAATTACTTTTTCTATACGTATAGGATGGATTTGGAAGTTGAATGTATTCCATATGGACATCCCATGCTATAGTACTAGTTAAAAATTATTTTTAATCCCTATTGGATTACTTTTAGCACCTTTATCAAAAATCAAAAGGTCATGTAGGAAGTCTATATTAATTTCTAAGTTCTAATTCTCTTGTATTGTCTTTTTTTTTTTTAAAGTAGTACTGAGGTTTTAACTGAAGGCCTTACAGTTACAATTACTTTTCCAATTGAGCCACACCCTTGGTTACTTTTTTGGTTACTTTTCAGATAGGTCTCATGTTTTTGTGTAGGGCTTGTTTTGAACTGCGGTTTTCCAGACTACACCTCCCGTGGGTCACAGCCATGAGCCACCACTACTTGGCTTATTTGTTGAGTGGGGAATCTTGCTAACTTTTTGTCCAAAATGGTCTAGAACCACAATCATTCTGATTCTCATCTTCTTTTTTGAGTAGCTGGACTAGCAGGTGTGTGTCATCATGCTTGGCTCTATTAAACTATTCTTATGTCAGTAACTCAGTCTTAATTATGATAGCTTTTTTCTTTACTAAGCATTAAAGTCATGCAGTATGCCTTTTTTCAAGGTTACTTCAAGTTACTACACTGTTAAATATACTACCTACTAGCTCTATGTAAATATGCTTAAATAAAATTAAAAGTTCTTGTTACATTAGCAATTTTCTAAATGCTCAAGTCTTATATGGTTAGTAACATACTGAAAATTATAGGTATGCACTAGTTTCATCATTACAGGAAGCATTATGAAAAAACACTAAATATTTTAGGTTTCTTTGCAGTTCCATACACATTTGGAGTAAAATAATCAACTTTTTTCCCATTAAACAAATCACCTTATTGTCATATAACTGACAGCCAAAAAGCTGTACATATTCAGAATACACAGCTTGAGAAGACTGTCAACTTGTCATTTTCTATTAAAAAAATCATTGTAAAATCATGATTAGGACTACCTTCAATTTCTAGATCAAATTCACAATTTCAATCCAAAGAATACTGATTCTTCCTACACATAAACATGATATAACTATTTCTTCACTAATTAAGGTCTTTAAGAAATATTTTGTTGTTTTCAACATAGAGGTATGGAAAATTTATTCCTTTTTGTGCCATTCTTGGGACTTGAACTCAGGGCCTGGGCACTGTCCCTGAGCTTTTTTTTTTCATTTTGTAACTGATTCTTCCTGGCATATAAATACTATAATGTTTTAAAATTTTGACCTTCTATCCTGAGAATTATGTAACAGTGACTATTACATAGATTTCTTAAATATTCTCCATAATCATGTTATCTGCAATTGGAGACTTTATCTTTTTCTTTTTTCTTGAAAAAGGGTCTCACTTTGTAGCCCAAGTTGGCCCTAAACGCTAGATTCTCTTGCCTTAATCACCCAAGTGTTGGGATTATAGGATTGTGCTACTATCTCCAGCCAGTTTAATGTCTTAATTCCCATTTAAAAAAAAACATTTTGTTTCTTTCCCTTGCTTTATTAGAATAATATAAAAATGGTGAGAGTCTTTTCTTTATTTTCAATCTTAGGATACAACATTCAATATTTAGGTATTATTATTATTATTTATTTATTTTTTGTCAGTCATGGGGCTTGAACTGTGGGCTTGGTGCTGTCCTTGCGCTCTTCCGCTCAAGGCAAGTGCTCTACTGCGTGGGCCACAGCAGCACTTCCAATTTTCTAGTGCTTTATTGGAGATAAGAGTCTCATGGATTTTCCTGCTCAGGCTGGTTTGAACTGCGATCCTCAGATCTCAGCCTCCTGAGTAACTAGGATTACAGGCATGAGCCACCAGTGCCCGGCTTTATTATAGTTTTTTTTGTGTGTGTGCCAATTCTGGGTCTTTAACTCAGGGCCTGGGCCCTGTCCCTGAGCCTCTGTGCTCAAGGCTAGCACTCTACCACTTGAGCCACAGCACCACTTCTGGCTTTTTTCATGTGAACTGGAGAGGCGTCTCTTAGATTTGTCTGCCTGGGTTGGCTTTAAACCTCAATCCTTGGGCTGGGAATGTGGCTTAGTGGTAGAGTGCCTAGCATGTGTGAAGCTCTGGGTTTGATTCCTCAGTACCACATAAACAGAAAAAGATGGAAGTGACACTATGGCTCAAGTGGTAGAGCACTTGCCCAGGCCCTGAGTTCAAGCCCTTGGACCGGCAAAACAAAATCCTCAATCCTCATATTTCAGCTTCCTGAGTAGCTAGGATTACAAGTGTGAGCCAC